TTCATTCTGGTTCCAACAAGTAAATAACTTCAGCCTCTCTGATCCCTGAGGAATGATGATTTACAACTGGTAATGTGCACTGAAGAAAAATACAACTTGTTTCTGAAAACCACTGATTAAAGTGATCATAGCAAAGCCAAATAACTCTGGGCTCCCTCCTTTTATCACCCATACCTGCCTTACCCCTTGTTACTCCACTCAGCAGCACTGACTCTGATTTAATCTGCTGGAAGGGGGCTTGTCTGCAATGCTGATCAACACAATTCAGCCTTTGCAAACATTTGCCAGTGCCAAGGGACCTTCTGGCAATGCTTTTAGCAGAAATAATTTTAAGAAAATGAATTGCTAAAATATGAACTTCCACAGAGACAGGACCAGGAGAAAAAAAATTACAAAACCATAATAGGCACTGCCTGCTCGCTGGGAAGCATGAAGGATACAAGTTATTGAACCAGGAGGGAAGTACAACCTGGAAAGATATGTTTAGTCCTCTTTCATCCACCATCACTGCCCCAGTCTCTGCCAGGACTCTGTCACAGGGCAGATCCATAAAGAGCAAAAGCTGCAAGTGATGGAACTGAACATTCCATCCCCATCTGGACAATTGCCAATATTTTTTTCCTGGTTTTTAGCCCTCCTCCTGGTGCCTCTCTGCACTGTCCTGGGAACTGTATGAAATGCTTTTCTCATTTCCTTTTGTATGTTATAGCCTTCAAAGAGAGAAAGGACCCAAATGCAGGATGTGTGGGTCAGGAACACAGTCAATGTCATTTCTAGAAACTGAGAATCACAGAGAATCTGGGCAAGAAGAAATTCAGGAGTACCCTCTGTCCTACTGGATCTCCCGGGCCAGGAGAATCCCTCCACTGATGGATGCTGCATGACTCCCCAGAAATCTACACTTATGCTGCCTCCACAGTGCAAATTTCCCCTCACCTCCAATCTGAACCCACTGCTAAGTTCCTCCATGGACACTGGAGCTGTTTAGTCCCCCTACACCTGCTTTACACACACACACATGGCTTCTAAGTCCCTCCACACCTTTTCCTGGTGGGCTCTTCCATCCCCCAGGGACTCAGCAAGCTGGAGGGTGGAGTGTGACCAATTCAGACCAGAAACCGGGTGCAAATTTAAGCAGCACAGGTAGTTTAACAGCTGTGACAAGTGACCACAGGCTGTGCTGGTGTCAGCCATGGGCAGCTCAAAATTAGGATGCCGGATGTTTTTAAATGATGGCTGTGTTTCAAAGAGGAATTCATTCAGAAGCATGGTGCATTTAGTGTTTACCCTGTATTACTGTGCTATATTATCCCATAATTGGTTGTTAGGTCAGGATTGCAACCTAGCAGGTTCCTCTTCCTTGCCTAATTAGTGTGTATTCCTCATTGCTCGGTGCAGGACTTGTTGTTTTCCCCCTACACATCTGCTCTTCCTATGAACACCCTCCCAACAACAAAAATTTATCCCCTCTCCCTCTGACAATCCAGCCCTTCACATGCAGAAGAGCTGCAGTTTGCCCAAGCAGGGTGACCTGAAGCTTCCAACAAAACGAGCTGTTTAGTCTGACGGGCTTGAGGCAGTGGAAGTGTTTCAAACTTGGCAGCACAGCCAACTCACTACTCAGACACTGTACATTTCCCTCCTGTCTGATCTGCAGCCCTGCAGTGACATGAGTCATTCTCCTTCCCCTTCTCTTAAACCATGGGCTTTCCTGGGGCTGAGCCAGCACACAGCCCTGCACAGAGGTGTGCCACGTGAGCACCCGGCTCCTGCCAGGACAAACCCTCCCTACAGCACAACCAGCCTGCTCCTCCTCACCCCAGGCCCAGCACTGGCTTGAGCAGGGTGTGAGCTCCTCAGAGCACTGTCTGCCTTGAGCTGCATGGGGTGCCTGTGAATCCACGGGCCTAGAGCCAGAACACAGCATCACCCCCATCACCGTGCAAATCTCTTATCTCTGCAGCACCCTCAGCTCAGCTCAGCCAACCTCATCCTGTATCTTGGCCTCAAAGACATGGCTCGTTTCTCATCCCACCCAATTGTCCTGCTCTTGCAAAATCTGGTATCAAGGCCAGCAGAACCTGGCTCCCCATGTGAGACCACAGGTGAATACACACAAGGTCCTGGACAGATCAGCACAAGAGGCACTGTACACCATCAAACTGGAACAGAAACAGGGACAAACTGGGAGGGTTTGCAGAAGCCCAGGATTAAACCAGACTGAGATGCCTGGCACAGTGCATTAGGGAAGATTAAAAGAGTGGATGGCTTGGCTGAACAGCACAATCCAACAGCAACAGCCTGGGCTCAGAGGATGATGAGAAACTGCACCCTGGTACAGGGAACTGGCATTAGAGGTAATGAGGCAACACTAGTTTGGACAATGAGAGCTATTTCAGAAATTGGGAATGGGATGCAGTACATAGTCTACCTATATCTAGACACAAATTAATAGAGCAGGGGGGACAGTTTGACCTTCCCTTGCTGCTGCCAGAGCAAACCAAGCAAGCCCTTGCTGGGACTGTCCTGCCCCAGGCACCACTGCATGTCCTGCCCCAGGCACCACTGCATGTCCACAGAGTCTTGTAGGGACTTTATTTCCCCCAGCTAGGACACAGAGTTCTTTGCATCTTCCTCCTCAGAATGGCTTCAGGTTTATGTGCTGAGACACTGCAGGATATGTGGATTGTTGCATTAAAATTGGCAGCACAGGCAAGAAGAAGTGCAGATCTCAGAGTACACAGCATTTCAGCTCTTCTGAGGACCACACTCCTTCCAACAGACACAGACGTGGCTTACCCAAACAGCCCCAACTTCTGATGGCCCCAGGAGCAGGGGAATCAGATCAGATCAACCTCTGATTTCCCCTGCCTTCACAGCACAAGCATGCAAAGAAGTAAGATGACATTTGGCTTCTTGCAGAGAGCAGCAGATATTTAGCGAGATTAAACGACAGCCTCGTCTCCCTTCTCGCGCAGAGAAACCATCTCCGACCTGTCTGTGCTGGAATGATGCTGCTCGAGCGCCTCTCTGTGGCTCTGAGCTCCTCTTCCTCCCTTACAGCCTTCTCCAGCCACCAACTGATCTTTTAACTGCCTTTTACTTTTTTAAAATACAAAGCCAAATTGCTGCTATTATACCGTGAGCACCTCTGAGTTCACTGAACTTGGCACTGAGCTAGGAGCTGGCCCAGCCAGAATTCACAATTTCATCTTTTTGATGGTGAGATACACACGTATGATGCTACTCAAGGCCTTTCTGTAGTTTCCAGCAGCAGAACAGCTGAAATTGGAGCAGACCCACAGCTGCCCAGGGCTCACAGAGTGACCAGGAATGGTGGCTGCCAAGGGCATTATTGTGTTTGAAGGAGGTGCCTGTGCTTGTCTCCAGAACGTCCTGTGGAGCTCAGCACAGAGCTCCATCACTAACACACACATGTCAACACACTGAGCATGCCAATTTTTCTGTATCCCTCGAAGAAGCAGGAAACAAATGGTCCCCTGCTGAAATCATGACTTAAAACAAAGGCTCTTCATCAGCCTCCTGCAGCTGCTTGTTGTTTTCCCTTCTCTGTGGAGCCTGCCAGCTCCTAGTTATCTTGGCCAAGCACATGATTAGAATCTTAGAGCAAATTCTAACTGCAAACAAACAAGTACATCTTGAGAGGAATACACACAAACTGGTGGATGCACAGTACATCTAACTGCCCAGCAGATCCTGTCCTGCCTCTTCTGATGCCAGGCAAGCCCTGCTCCTCTTCTGGATGAGAAGCAGATGGGGCAGGATTAATAGCACAGATCCCCAGGCCCTTTATATTTGCACAAATAGCAAGAACTAGACCCAGTGCTGCTCAAGGGGCCACATATTTGTTATGCTGGCTTTCTGCAGCATGGGAAGCAATGTAGGAACAGGAATTCCTGCCCTGAGTAATCCCCAATGCCTGGCTATGGCAGAAGGTCTATTGTTTCTGAAAGCTCCATAGAAACAAGATAATTAAGCTCTATGGCCACCACAGCAAGAACAGAAGGAAGGATCAAGGGGTGCTCCTTGTTCACTCAGTGCTGACCCAGGTGGCTGGGCTTAAACAGGCACTGAGGGTGGTGTGGGCTCACCCTCCCAGCTCTGCACTGAGGCAGATGGCAAGAGCTCACCCAGCCCAGCCCCAATATCCGTAACAATCAGATGAGCTGTGAAGCTGGAATCTGTGGCAGATGGAAAATGACAGCACAAAAGCTTTTACTCCAGGCCTCAGAGCCTTCACAAAGGTAGCAGAGAGGAAGGTTTAATTCAAATAGCTTGTCCTTCTCCAGAGCAAAGCCAGGCTGTGATATAAATGGAATGCTTCTCCCTTTTCCTGCCTCCCCAACAGCTTGGCTGTCTTCATTTCCAGAGGATGAGCTGAAACATCTCATCAAAACTCAGCCCAAACAAGACAACTTGCTATGAAAAACTGAAATGGGACCTTGGCATGAGAGCATCTACACAGCACAGTCTGTGCTGAATCCCTGGCACCCTGCATTGGTGCTCTCCTGAACCTTTGTGGGAGGCTTTAGAGGAGGCACCAGGGGATTAAAAAAAATGTCCCCCATGCACACAGACTGGAGTTGTTCCTGGGACATTTGTCAGATTCCTTGTGGGTTAGGCAGTCATCCAGTAGTATGATCAGTTGTAAAAAGACTGAAGCTTTTTCATGGGCCTCCCAGGCTGCAATTCCTAAGCAGTCTTATCCCAAAAGTGCCTGCTTTGAAGTCAAGAGAAACAACTGCAGAACATCCTCTGTCAGGGCTGTCACACTCTGCAGTGTCACTGCTGCTTAGCACTGCCATGCTTCGAGGGAAGACACCTCCACAGCCAATTTGCTGCCTCCTTTGAAAGGACAAGGTTTCTGGTTAAGCACAAGGATGCTGATGGCTGTCCATGTGGGTAGGAGCAGAAAATGACACCCACTGGTGAGCTCCAGCAACACAAGGACAGAAAATCAGAGTCTGACAAAATGCCAATGCTGTGAAGAGCAAGAGACTTTTAATGGAGGAAAGGCTTTATTAAGGTGCACCCTATTATTGTGACATACCAGATTGCTCTGATGCTCCAGATCTCTGGGAGAGAGATGATCACAATAGTGTCTATGAAAATGTCAGTGCTGGATCATGGGCCTGGCCCTCAGGATCCAAGGCTGGCTACTGCTTCTTCTCTCCCTTCATTTTCTCTCTCTCCTTGTCCATGGCAGCTGCCCGTTCCTGCAGACAATCCCAGTACTTCTGCTTCTCCATTTCCAGCAGTACCTCCTGCCTGAAAAGGTAGAGAAAGGGTGGTTGAAACAAAAACAGTCCCTGACATTCCCCCAGTGCTCAGACAACATCCCCAAGGGCCCCTGGGGCTCACTACTGGTTAAGCAGCTCTACTCCCTGTGTCCAAAAATCTCAGTGGTTCCCTCATGCCAATCAATAGTCAAGTTCTCCTGACAGCAAGGAGCTCTGAATTTGTGTTATCTCCAGATCTCTGTAGACAGAGGTCCCACTGCAGCTGTATTTGCACAAATCTTGGTTTCAGCTCTCAGTTCCCAGGGAGCAAGATATCCCTGGACGTGGTGACTCCCCAGTTCTGTGGTATGAGGCAGATAAGAGTCTCCTCTCCAGCATTTTGAGAAGGAGGGACACAACTTCTGGCTGGTGACATAGGATGGAACTTTTCTGCACTTAACTAGCCAAACAACTCCACAGGATTCACCCTGGACACAAGGAATTAGGGAAGGCTACCAGGTAATAAATATGTGCCATAAGGTCGCACCAGCACTCACCTGTTTCGTTTCGAATTAGGAAATTAATGCATAGTAAAAAGATACAAAAGACTGACACGGATCTAGTTCCAGGTTCCCAGCAGAATTCGAGGCCAAGGAGCCCAAAAAGAAATGTCACAGTGCCATCTAATGACGGCAGCGGCGAGATGCTCCAACCCCGAGGCTGCGGGGACCTGCTCCAACCGAGGAACCCCCAACACAAACCACTGAAACATCACAGGGAGCCGGGAATGTGGGGGTGAGAGAGGCACAGAGAGACCCCAGCTCTGCCTGGATGTGGGGTCTAAAGGAGCATGCAAACACGTGAGGATCATACCCCCTAAAAAGCTCACACAAACTGTGCTGCACAAAATCACATCAGAACTTGCATCCTGACTTACTGTTCTAGGGAGGACAGAAGGGAGAGGAGGAAGGGCTCTGGGTGGCTGTCAGGAACCCAGCTGCCTGAACACTTTCTCAGACACAAATCTCTCACAGCACACAGAACAACCCAGAAGCTCCAGGGTAAGCCCTTCCATGAACTCAGCATCACTACAGCTGACAATAATGCAGGTAAGGTGCACTTACCTCTCGGGCAGAAAGCGAAACCTATCACGTAAATAAATGTTACATCTCTCAGTCCACTGCAGCTCCTGCATGGGTTTGAAATGCAAATCTGGTTTCTTTGGGATAGCCTCCTTCAGTGGGTAGGACTTGAAGTCGTAAACGAAGATGGTGCTGTGAGTGGCTTTGCTCTGGAAAAATTCATCTACGTGCTGGTGCTCATCTCCTAGACAGAGACAAGAACAGTGAGCTACTGTTCAGGAATCACCCAACAGGAACAATCAAGGAGCAGTGCACAGCTGAAAGCACCCAGTGATGGTGTACCTATGCCCACCCACCTCGGAGCAGCAAGCAGCTGTTGGCACTATCCACTGTGAACACTGGCTGCCAGGCAGGGGCCACAGCATGAGAAGGTGGGGTGCAGAAGCAGTAAACAGTCTGGGATGTGTCAGTGTTCATCAGGGACACTGTGCCATCCCAGCAGAAGATCAGGACCTGAAGCAGCAACATTGACAAGTAGGTGAAAAACAAATGGAAAACACTTTCAGTAAAGGACTTGAGGGGATATCCAGGACTTCACATCCCCAAAAATGACAGAGATGAAGAACAGCCCTTGCAGAGAACTTGGACCAAAACTGCTGGAGGTTTGGATTGGAAAAGGACAACAGGGCACATTAGAAATGAGGTAGATCCAGCCTTCTGTGGTGAGTGGCTATTAGTCCTTTCCTCCCCATGCCTGCAACCTTTCTGAGGCCACTTGTCAGGTTGTGTTTGTACCTTTCTCCCCAGGATGCCCCCTCATATTTGACCCTGATGCCTGAACCCTCCCACCTTCACCTGTCTGTGTGCACCTCAGTGGCCAGTTAGAGGGCACAGGTGCCAGGGGATACTGGGTAAGATCATGAAAGAGAAATCCTTTGAGCATTACCAGCTACACACACACCTGGAGCTGGTGCGGGAAGTTTTCACACCAAAAATATTTGGAAGCTGGAAAGGATGTGAGGATCTGATTGCCCTGCTCGTTATCTTCTCAGCACCCAGTTACTGCCCTTGCTGGAAACAAGGTCCCAGCACAGATGGACATGAGCTCCCACCCAGGTTAAGAGAGCTGGCAGCAATACTCACTGCACTGGGGAAGGCCAGGACAGGCATCACTGCACTGACTGTAAGATTTGGATTTTCAGGCCTGTGAAAGAGACAGAGGTTTATGCTGCTGTTGCATGTACCTGGCACATGATAATGACATTGGCTTTGTGTCACACTGGCTGGCAAATAATCCCAGACAAGCCCCTTCCTTATAGAGACAAAGCCCATCTCCTCCTGGGCAGGAACCCCTGGAGCCCATCCCTGTGCAAACCTGCCTGGGAACTGCACTGGAGATACAAATCCCTGCCTGCCAGGGAGGCATGAACCCAGAGTCTTCAGAGCAGGGGATAAATGAACACAAAAAAATGATAGAAAGATGCCAATAAATGTTTATTCTGACTTCTAGGGGGATGGTATTCTGCTAAGGGCAGAAGAGAGAAGAAAAAATTCCCCTGAGTATCCAGCAGAGACACAAAAGTTCAGCATCAGCCCTGGAGCTGTGCTAGAAGTATTTGTGTTCTGGAGCACAGAAGAAGCCAGAAACACCCCTAATTCTGGCAAACCATTGAATTTTAGCACTGATAAAACCACACTTGCTGCTGACAGCAGCATGGCAGAGCCATCTGGGTGAAAACAGCAGGAAGTTCTCTACTCCACAGAAATGTGAGGCTCTCTCTTAGACAGGATCACTATAACCACGAGTCTGGCTCACCTGTCTGCCAGGAGTGTGATGCTGGACTTGCCAGCCTTGGGTGCTCTCACCAAATAGAAAGAGCTGTCTGTACACAGCACTAGGAGCTGTACGATGGCACAGACAGGGTCTGCACCACAATAGACAGGATCTGCACCACATGTCTCATCATTGACAGCTGAAGAAGCATACAGAAAGTGGATGCTACGGATGAAGCGTTCCTCTAGAATGGCAGTCACAGACAGTGGGTATCCTGGGGAAGGGAGGGAGAGAAAAGGAACTGGTCATTTCTCCAAGCAAAGCTTAGTTTGGAGTGTGGGAGGGAGAATAAGCAGATGGCAGAAGAAGATTCTTGTGCCAGGAGAGTCCCTGCATCACGGCAGGGTGACACTAGCACTGATGGCAGCCTGAATGTGGCACCACAACAGTCTCAGAAGTGACCTTAGAGTGCAGTGGCAAAGCAGGGACTGGCACTGTCTCACAGCCACAGGCAGGACTGATCAGTCCTTGCTGCAGCAGCTCCAGCCCCTGCATTGCCCTGCATGGGCATGGTTCTGCAGGGGCCAGGGCAGTCATGCTGGCCAAGCACCCAATAGATGACTGAATCCAAACTGTTTTCAGATTTCCTTGTAAATTCACCACCAGCCTTTTATTCACACTAAGTCTGAGCTTCAGACTCCTAGGCAAAGGTGCAATTTACCCACAGTGATCCCAATACAGACTCCCAAAGGGCAGGCTCACCTAGGTGCTTATCCCAAATAGTTATTGTTGCATCTTCACCTGCCAGTGCCAGGTACCTGGAGCAGGAACTGACAGCTGAGCATGCAATTGGAGCTGCACATGGCCACACAAGATCAGGCTTCAGATCAGAGCCTAAACAGAATGGCATGAAGAGAGACAACTGTAAGAAGGTGCAGAACATTCTCTCACACAGTACTAGCATTTATTTTCCCCATCAAACATGCACCACCATTCTGCTGCTTCCTGCCAGAGTGGCTTCACTGAAAACACTGCCAGTCTGTGCAGCACAGAGCCCCACAACCCAAATGCCAGCCTCACCCATGAGATATGAGTCAGCTTTCTGCCAATTCCTCATTCCCCTGAATCATGGAGACCTGGCAGAGTGAGAGCCCCCGGCCACAGAACACTCCCACTCCCCATAGAGTGCTCTGCTAGAGAAAGCAAAACTTCCTTACCTGCTTTGTCCTTGAGGGAAGGGTTGAGTAAGTACAAGCAGAAATTGTGGTTTCCATACCAATGCACTCCAATGCCAACTGGAATATCTGGTACAGAGAAGGGGATGGCAAAAAGAGAAGAAGACTGGGGACAAAGAAAGGAACAATCCAGGACACCAAAACACCATTAAAAAGCTTTCATTAGAGCTTTCATGGTACTCCTAATAGAAATTCTGCTCACACAGAAACTAAACCAGAACAACCTCTCCTTTTTGTTTGTTTTGTTGTTTTTTTTTTTTTAATCTTGACTATATGCCTCCTTTTTAATTTTTTGGGGGGGTTGTTTTTATTTGTTTGTTTTTTGGTTTTTTTTTCAGGGGGAAGATTGTGGAATTCTTATAAAATATGAAGATAAGTTTTTTTTACTCCGAGCCAGTAACTGATTTATAAGTCTTAGGGCTGACAGTTTTACCCAGACTTACACCCTTGGAGATGGAACTTAGAGTGGATGCAAGCCAGACCCACTGAGCTCTCAGTAGAGCTCAATGTCATCCAATCAATGACTGTGCTTCACAGATTAACAGCTTTTTGTCCATTTGGATTACCTGGCTCTACTTCCATTTCTGGTGCCATCAGGATCCGGCTAGGAAGGAGGAAATGAAAGGTAGCATATCTGAAAAAGGGAAGAAATATATGTAAAAGAAAGTAGCTTTGATAAGTAGGCAGCAGGATAACAAGACCTGGAATGGCTCCAGCTCCCTGCCCTGAAGCCTTGGGAGGAAGGCAGCAAAGCTGAGAGAGAGGCTTCCATCTACACAGTGCCCTGTGTGGGTGACTCATGGCTGAATCCTGGCTGGTGCAGCCACTCACCTGGGCATCTCCTCCTTGGTCACTCCCTCAGCCTCCAGATACTCCTGGTAGGTGCTACAGAAGATTGCATCCTGCAGCTCCCACTGGGAATCCTTGATTAGGTGGTTGTACCCCAAGCCAAACGTGCTGCCATCACCCACTTCCTTCAAGGCATCCAAAGGGCCCTTAAAACTGGTGCCTGGGTCGGGAACACAAAGGGAAAAGGCACAGCCCTGGAGAAGCAGAAACCATGAAGCAAACATCATGGAGGCATTTGGGGGTGGCATAGTCTTGAGGCAGAAAACACTTTATCTTGTGTGGGGCTTTCCATATCACAAGTTCATTTTCCAGTATTTGAATGCAGGGATTAGGGCAAGGACCCCACTCACATTGCCTTTCTGTGGCATTTTCCAATATAAAGCCTGTCCCCTCCTCATCCTTGGCATTTCTCTATAATTCCAGAATTTCTCTGTGATTCCAGGGCTCAGGAGTGCTGCTAAATCTAGGAAGGAGCCTCCTCCCTCTCACACCCACTCTGAGACACTCCAAAGCACTTTGTGCTGGCCAAGGTGATGTGTTTGATGGTCTGGGAGGAAGCAACTCCCACTACAGGATTACATGTAATTAGACAGACAGGTCAGGAAAGAACCAGAGATTGTGTTACTGAGACTTTCTGACCTGATCTGTGCTTATAGGGGCCCTGCTGCCTTTGCACCTGAACCAGGCTGCACATACAGACCCAGTCCTAACCTGTAATGGGTTTGGGTGGCCTCACTGTCAGCAGCAGCTCTGGGGGATCCAGCTTTATATCCAATCTAGCTTGGATTGCAGGCACAGGAAGCTCCTGCAACAGAAAAGTGCCACCTGAGAACTGTGGTGTGTCAAAATGAGTTTTCACCTGTTCATGGGAATCAAGTGCTACCAAAAGAATTTAGGAAAAACTGCTTTGTGTAGGCAAAGGATGGCTGGCACTGGCTGGGAGATACTGGGTTTGGGCTCATTCTTCAGGCCAAAACACAGAAGCTTCAGGGCATCACTACTTTCCCAACTACATTACAAGGATGTCCTGCCCACACTCCTGTCTTTGTGCCATCTCTCAATTATTCCTGTTGCAGCACAGGCCTGTGTGAGTCACAGCAATGAAATAAAGGGAAAAAATTTTTAAAAAGAAGCAAGACTAAAGGTTGAAGGGTGTCTCCTGAAAGTGAGAACCAGATTTTACTTCACAGAGCCAAGGACTGGAGGAGGGCTGGGGCTCCTCCTCACGTATATATACAGGCTGGGAACAGAAAATTGTAACAGGGGGCCAACACCAGTGTGTGCCCACCACCATCACCCCACACACATTGACATTGGGCTAAACAGAAAAGGTCTGGCTTAATAATCAGCCAGTCTGAGCGGGAAGGGGCAGGAATTTGGATAGTTTGCACAGAATCGGCAAAGAGAGAATGCTTGTTTGGTTTTGGCTTCACTAAGTTAAGCAGGGTGTTTGCCCTGAGGACAAGGCTGAGTTCCCTCTTAAATGTCCAGGAAGGTCTTTGCTGAAGGAAGAGGAAAGAGTTGGGAGCTGCTATGACAGAGGGTTAGTTCAGGGTGCTGGGAAGGAGTGTCTGTGTGCTGAGAGGTGAAATCCTGCAGGGTGAAAGTGATAAAGGGGAGGGTTAAGCACTGACTCAGCACTTTGAATTCCCCATGGCAGCTCAGGACAGCCCCTGAGGCCAGTGACCATCTCTGCAGAGCTGTCCCATGCAGCTCCTCAGTTTTCTGCCAAAGAACAGAGCTGACTGTGGCTAGTGCACACTGCAGAGACTCTGCCCTACTCAGGTGGGTGAGGCTGTGACTCCACCAGGCTCTCTTTGTATGGAATCTAAACACAAACCCTGCTTCAGACTCCCAAACAGAGGCATCCTGCCCGGTTCCCACTCCTCCTTCCCCCAGTAACACCAGGGAGAAGCCCTGTGGGAATGCCCTGGGCCCCCTCGGATGGAGCAATGCTGCTGAGAAACGAGCTGCCAGTTTCAGGGAGGGGCAGCAGGAACACGAGTCCTGGGACCAGGGGCATCTCTTTGGAAAGCCTGTCTTGGGAGAGTAAACACATCCCAATGGCACAAAGGCTTATGAAATGTGGGATGGGCAGCTGCAGCAGCTGCAGACACACAGACACACACAGACACACACACCATCCATCCCCTTGGGCAGCACGAGGGTTCAGGCTGGGTCAGGCTGTCACTGTCTGTACCAGCAAGGCTTGGGGGAAGAGCTGTGGGCAAAAAAAATCTTTAAAAAAACAGCACAGAGGGAGATGGAACTGTTTTGTACCACAGGTGAGGAGCTTGACCTCCTCTCACTGCCAGCCAGCTCCTCTGCAGCTCTTGAGTTCTCTTCCATCTCTGTCAGCCAGGAGTCCTTAGGCAATTGGTAGATCTCCAGCCAAGCTTCTGTGCTGTCTGCATTGAGAAACCATGTTAAGCAATTGGAAATGAGGAGAAAAGGTCTTCCAGGCAGGCAGCCTCTGTTATCTTTTATCCTTTATAAAAAGATTTGTGTATTTTTCTGAAATATAAAATCTCTGTGAACTGCATGCAGCCCAACTCTCCTCTCACTTAAGGCTTGACATGCTTGATGGAGACTGACAGCTCAGCCTGCAGCTCAATCCTCAAGCTCCCACACCCATCAAAGAAATTCCATTAAGCTACTCAGTGAAGAACCTGACTTGCAGCCTCTGAGTAATAGAGTAGAAAGTAGAAAGTGAGGCATGGTCTCACATTAGCTCTCTGCTACATGTCTCATTCTCAGCATGTGTCCAGGCAGATCCCACCAAACGCAGGTGCAGAAAACCTGCCTGCCATGGATTCAGCTGCCATGAAACAGAAGAATATGGTAACAAGGATTTCTTGTGGTGTTTCTAGAGGCTCTCTATGCTCTCTGGCCTATATCTGCAGAGAAAATTCTTCAGGTCTACATCTTTCCAGTGAGCCATAGCAAGGTAGAGGAAGAACTGACTTTGGTACTTCTGGAGAGAGGGAAAGCTGCTTTCACTGGGAGCTGGGGACTGTTTTGCAGAGATAATCAAAACTCCACAACTTTTGTGAAAGTTGTAAAGCCGGTATGTTTATTACAGCACTGGACGCATGGGGGAATCGTTCCCCTAAAATGACATGCATCCTTCTGGGAACTTCAGGTCCCTTTTTATCCCCCTCTCAAATACATATGCATACAATTTCACAATAGGTTCATACATGTTCATTTTTATGAATTTTGTGTGACATTTGCCGCTAGTTCTAGAAAGAATTCCTGGGTCAGGTTAACCTGCTCTCACAGCAGTCTCTGTCTCTCTCTACCACCTTCTGTCTCCCTCACCTTATCTCTGTCCTTCACTGAAGCAGTTTCTCTGAGCCTAGGTTCTGCAGTCAGGCTAAATAGCTATGTTTTCTAACCACAGACTCCACTCAAAAATGTACATTTCACCTACATCAAAATGGATTTCTACCCTGGAAAATTTCCACTTTGCCTCAGGACTGCAGTGACCAGCTCCAGACAGCTCAATTTTGGGATCAGCCTTGGTGCACACCGAGTGCTTTGGAAAGAACAGGGAGTGTCAGGAGCTGCTCCTTAAGCCAGAGGGGGAACTGGGAGGATTAAAACAGGATCCCTGGCTACTCAGACCACTTGCAGCATTCTAAAAACATTGCTGCTGCCCCTGTGCTAGAACAGAGGATTCTCCAAACACAGCATGTTGCTGCACTTGCCTTGCAGCAGGATTCCTGCATAATCACCTCCTCGGGACAGCACCACCTCCACACAAAGGCTTCGCAGGCTGATGTCCTCCTGCCAAGGAAAAACAGGCTGATCAAAGCCAGGCCACTGATTCAGAGAGCTCTCACACAGCTCTCAACAGGCTAAAGGCCAGCTAGACTGCTGGAAGAACAAAAGTAAATATTGGGCAGCAGTCTTGGAGCACTACTACCTGTGAATAAATTTCTGAGGGCAACTGGTACTCCTCATGATTGATTACTTCCCAGCCTGTGCACGGAATTAGCTCAGCACTTACCACTTCATTCAGGGCTTTAATGAGCAGGAAGCTTTCCCTGTGAAAGCAGAAGAGCCAGGCAAGCCCTGAAACAGAAATACAGGAGCAGCAGGAGGAGGGAGAGGAAAGTGAATGAACATTAGCCGTGCTCTTGGGAGATGGCTGTTACAACATGTACAGGGCAGTGAGCAGGATTACATTCCTCCCTGGGCCCAAGGAACAGCATCCCACTGTTTCCAGCACTAAACTTTTGCTGGCTTCCTTGTGCAAGCATCAGTAAAGCTTTGGTTATGCACAGAGATGGAGAAGCCAGTCTGAAAAGCTTTTTTTAAAAAAACTTTCAGATTCACCAACAAACTCATACAGCTGCAGGGGCAGCTCACAGGCAGGGGGTCTTTCTGCCCAGCCCAAGATGCTCCTAAACTTCACTGTGCTTCCCCCTCAGCTCTGCAGCTGCCCCTGCTGTGCCCCAAAGCTCACCAGACCCACAGCCCTGCTAATCACAAGGCCCCAGGGCCACTCTGCCACCCTGCAATCTGCTGGCTGTCCAACGCCCTCTCTGCAGGGCTTTCTAGGAACATTCTCAGCCTCCCTGATGCTGCTCCTGCTCTGTGGCAGCTCAGGCCCAGAGCACAGCTCATCCTCAGCCAGGCCAGGGACACCCAGGGCACACTGACCCATTTCATCCACAGCAAGCAGGACGTGGCACTCGTTGCCCAGGGCCGAGGCATGGAGGGCACAGATCTCTTTTTGGGCTGCATCCCAAGCACAGACATCCTTCAAGTCACACCTGCTGAAGGCAGCCAGACCCACAGACAGACCCACAAAGATGTATTTTCCGGACACTGCAAGGCAATTGGCTCTTTCAGTTACCTAGCAAAAAAGGGAAAGGATGAGTGTACCCAACTGCATTCTCATCAGCCATGCTAATTATGTATTCCTGGCCTTTTCACCAGAAAATGCTGATTTATTCCACAAGGGAAGTATAATAAATAATAAATTTTGACACATTCTTCCCCCACAAGAGCAGGGGAGGGTCTCTCATCTCTGTCACAGAGATTGGTCTGTGTTAGGAATGAGAAAGTTTTCCCCCATCTTTCCCCTTCCCACAAACAGAAGGGGCTTTAACGGCCGAGAACTCAGGAGCATTCAGCCCTTCTATTGTCACAGACATCTTTTATGAAAAATCTTTTCCTTAGGATTTTTCCTCCTGAGAAGCCTCAGGAACAAAATGTAAACAATTATTATCTGCTGCTGTGGAATGCAACAGGTGGATCTGTGATTGGTCTCACGTGGTTGTTTCTATTTAATTGCCAATCACAATGAGCTGGCTCAGACAGAGAGTCCGAACCACAAACCTTTGTTATCATTCCTTCTTATTCTATTCTTAGCTAGCCTTCTGATGAAATCCTTTCTTCTATTCTTTTAGTATAGTTTTAATATAATATATATCATAAAATAATAAATCAAGACTTCTGAAACATGGAGTGAGATCTTCATCCCTTCCCTCATCCTCAGACCCCTGTGACACTGTCACTCCTCCATTCCAGTGCAGAGCAGGGATGGGATGCTGAACTCCCCCAGGCAATCACAGGCACCAGAGTGTCCCCCTGGACACCCCCACATGCTCATGGGGAAGGCAGCACCTTCATTCTGCCCCCATTCAGCAGAGCTCTCAGAGCTGAGCTTGCCCACTTGTGTGCCACCGAGTAATCACCTTCTCCCCGGCAAACAAGGGCGGAGCCAGCCCGGGAAGCAGAAGGTGAATTTAGTGTTTAATACCTAGAGAGGTGTGATGATTGGGTGGGAAGCAGAACCTGCCAGACAAGCTGGGAAGCTGCAGGCTTTTAAACAGAGCCAGTGAGATGGTGGCTCATTCTGGGGAAGGTCATGAGCAGAAGAATGACAGGATCTGCTGTGGTGGTTGATGCTGGCTCTGTACCTGGAATTCAGCTGTAGGAAAGCATTTTGTGGGCTGCACCTTTCGTTTTTGTGCTTCTCGGAGCATCTCCCTTTCTTCAATGATTTCCACAGCACTCTCAAAAACCTGCATCACCAGTTTGTGGATCATCCTGAAGGGCTGTGGCAGCACATCACGCTTTCGATCGGGATCCAGCAGGAAGAAATTTTCCTCCTCTTCCTTCGGCCAGTCCTTTGCAGATGGCGGGGGAATCTCCAGGGGATGCTGCCGGCTATTCACTGCCATGGTTCTCCCTCTGCAGATGCAAAACGCACCACGGATGCAGGAACCACCCTGGATGCAGAAGAACAAAGACTCCTTCAATACTTTCTTGCATGAGGTAATGGGGGAAACCTTGATTAATGATGTCTAAGGGGGTTTCCTTTCAATATTGATGGCCAGAGCAACCCTGCTCTGCATAGCTCAATTCTCCTTTCATCGCCTCTGTTTCCCGGGGGCTTTGTCCTGCTCTGGGCATCTCAGCCACACTGGGATTTGCAGGCTGCCCACAGTTAAAGAGAGCCCAAAAGCTTTGTCACAAGCACGTATAAGAATTATGGCAAAGCATTCAAAAATATCCAAAAATATTCTCTTCTTCTCCATTAATTACCCAGAACTTATTCGGTCTGGGTAAAATCCCAACGATTAACTCTGAGAGCAGCTGCTCTCACTGGGAGTTTTATACACTTCATTTCCAAAACACCGGGTGCTTTCGAGCTTCATCTCCGCGGCGGGGCCATACGCACACGGGCGCACCTGACCGCGGAG